CCCCCCCCCCCCCCCCGGGCTTTTTGGTTGTTTGTTCAGTTTGTTTGTTCAATTCAGTATTTTTCCTAGTGAGGTCCCAAAGTTCGTCATTTTGGAAGGTGTTTCAGTACTGTCTTTTATCCAATTAATTTCTACGTGCTACCGACCTTTTAAAATGTGTTACTTTATCATTCCTGTAAATCAAATTTCCTCGAGACAAACTTGATGCAAAGAAGTTGTCTGTTATTAAGGAAAACTAGGAAATGCCATTATCTACAATCCCAGTGCAATCATATTACAAATGCAGCATTTGTCAGCTTTGCTCTTGATTTTTGGCTCTCAGTAAATTTCGTGTGCACCGTGAGGCATCAATGAATAATATTTGTTAAGGCTGATTGGATAAACAAAGAAAAAAAAATAAATGTTCAGGTTGAATCATCAGCCTTACAATAATTTGCTTTTTTTTGCGTTTTTCTTTTTATGCTTTTTGTTTACATTCGCTATTTTCAATTTTCGCATTAAAACCATTCAATCTCGGAACAACAAACCTTCTCTACTCATAAAATATGATCTTTACTTGTCTTGCAGTCTATCATGAGCTCGGCTCCTGTTAAGTCTGACAAAAGTCCCACAGTGAAAAGTCTCAAACATTTCTTTTTTAAAAAATTTCCAGTGCTACGTTGGCCTGAAAACTAGCAAACTTTGTTTTATGTTCATGTAGGTAGAAGTATCTTTACTAACCCCGAAACTGGAAAACCATATGCCTATCAAGAACTTTTCAAGCAGCCAGAGCTTGCGGAGTTTATAAAGAACGTCTCCACCAATGGGAAAGACTACTTTTACAATGGTACTTGGGCCGAAGAAATGACAACTCTTGTTAAAGATCAGAAAGGTTTTATTATATTGGATGACATGCGCAGATATCAGACCCGGTGGGAGAGGCCATTCAACACATCATATAATGGTCGTAAGGTTTTCGTGTCCGGAAACGACTGGGGTGGAGTTGAATTGATGGAAAAGTTGTACCTGATGGAATTGGCGGGAATTGGTCAAACGCCAAACTCTAACTACCTTATAAATGCAACTGAATTTTTCTGGCTTGCCTCGATCTCTCGTTTTAGTTTCTTCGTCTCCACCTATTTGCACAGTACTCCAAACGGCCTATCAATTTTGAAAGAAAATCTGGACTTAGACTTATCAAATCGCTATTCCAGAGAAACCTCAAAAGCTATTTGGCATAGGATTGGCTCGCCCAAGAAGATGAAAGAGATTAATTGCATAATAAAAAGGCTACTTGGAGGGGAGAAGAACGTGGACGACTTTATTCACGGTTCAGATGCAATTGTTGCGGCAGACAAAGAGGGTAATATTTGCTCTATGATTCACACCATAAACAGTGAAATGTGGGGAACAGGACTGTTTGCTCAGGGAGTTGCCCTTCCCCATTCTGCTGCGATATTCAAGGCATTCGTCAAGCAAACGAAATCTGGGGCGAGGCTTGCTGTTGGCCTTCAGCCTGTTATAACGTTCAAAACCGAGAACTCCACTCAAGCTCTCCGTCCTGTCATGGCTCTCTCAGTTGTTGGCTCCTCGTATCCAGTTGTTGTTTCGCAGTATGTGACGAATCTGTTGGACAAAAAGATGAATCCAAAGGAAGCCATGGAGTCTCCCACTTTTCTACTGCCAAGTTTTTCAGATTTTTTCCCGTCTGTTCCCTTAGAGCAGTACTCAGTTGACGACAAGGTGCTGCAGGAAGTGCGAGACATGGGTCAAGGCGTTACCGAGGTAGACTACTTGACGGCGTATGGACCGATTGGTTTGGGGGTGGCGCTGACGATCGATGACAACGGAGTGATGTACGGATGTACCCACCCCCTTAGGAGAGGACTTGCAGAGGGAGTGTAATATAGATCCGTTAAGTTTTAACCCCGGTGGTACTGTGAAGGGTAAATTTTAGTTTTAAAGCAGTTTGGTCTGGGATAGGTCGTAGAAATCAGAGATTTTGGTCTAGACTATTGGTTGAAGATATTAGTCTAGACTAAGGAAACTAGAAGTGACACTCATTACCTGTCTCTTTCCCCCTGCAGTGGAGCCGATTTTTGAGAGGAAGGAATGGGTCATTCAAATGAAAGACTTTGAACGAAAAAACAAAAAAAACTTTTGCATGCAGTTATTATAGTTCAGTCATATGTCTTTAAAAATAGCTGAATTGTGCACTTTGGTGTAAAAGAATCAAACCCGGTACCTATGGTCCTATCATTGCACCGGAAAATTAACAAAAAAAAAAATGATTATGTGCTACGCCTATAGAAACTTATTGCCGGAAAAAAAATTTCAGTTACAAAAATGAAATGAAAGAAATAGTAAAAATGACAATGATTCATTCCTCTCCCTCAGTTCATCTGCTATAAATTTTCATCTCTTTCTTATTAAAGAAAATAATTCATTAATTCATTGGAAGTCAGTTAAAGGGTTTTAATTAAGCACATAATGATGAAGTTTTTCACCAAAACCAGCTTTAGGTCACTTGTGTTAAAGAGAGAATTGTGGGAAGGGACGAAAAAACAAAAAAACAAAACAAAACAAAACAAAACAAAACAAAAAAGGGGGGGTTAGATAAAAATTCGCGAAATCCTGTCTACAGCCACTTGTACACAAATCCCTAACCACAACTGAAACAACCAAAAAAACGACGTAAGCAAACAACACCCTAAACAAGCTAGGACAGGGGTAGTTGAGAGAAATTAAAAACATGTTTGCTAACCCGGTTTTTATAAATCCAGGTAGATATGTATTTACGGGAAAGAAAAAACAAATCAATGACCGGTTTCAGTATTTTGCGTCATCTCTTTATTCATATTCATAACCTAACAAGTGACTAAGAAAGAATCGATGTTACTCGGAGCTTTTTTATTCTTCCTGTCAACGACCTGTAAACATTTCGATAACCGGGAAGTATACCAAGGCTCGGAGCGTAAGATCAACTACTTGGGTGTACAAACAGTGGCAGAATAAAGTGCGCATTATCAGCGAGATGACATTACACGTCTCCTTTGCTAGTCGCAGTCATGAGGAGGGACGAATCTCTCCGGATCATATCCTTCTTCTATGTCATAGAAGCTAGGAAAAAATACACAATAAAATAAAGTTCTGTTATGTTATATGGTTTACCAGCCGATAGTTACAGTGCGATTTTGTCGAAAAGCTGAAACGTTTAAAGAACGTTGAAAATGTTTTAAAAATTGTTGGCAAAAGTTGAAAACTGAATCTACCATACAGTTGTCCAATTTTTTTTTACAGCCACTTGATTTCGGTAAGTCCATTTTACTACTTTCTGCGTTCCGGTTAATTCTTTATTCAAGGTGTGTAAGTATAAAGAAAATTACTTTTTTACAAGCAATTGCCGGTTTGCTATCGAATTCGAGGCAGCTTGTTTGCCATTTTCATGCGCTTTTGCATTCGGTTTTTAATCGTCATTTTCATTTTAATTAATGATCAGTTGTGCATGTTTGCTTTTTTATCGGCATTTCATTTACATTAAAGTTGCTGTTTTTACTTATGGCATTTCCATTCAAAGTACACGATAAATTGGGGTCATCCCAGGTGTAATATGATTTATTCGTTTTCTTTGTGTTATGAACTGTTGTCAGGGTTAGGTTCATTGTTAAGGATGCTTTGCTTTCTTTGTTTTACGTCAGCTGTGAGTAATAAATTATAGTACACCGGAGATGAGCCATAAAATTAATTGTAATTCGCTCGAGATTTCGCGGTTTAACTTAGGCCACGACCATAACTGATACGCTGAAATCGCATACTTGATATTTACGTCAATGCGAAGTTGGTGTGGTATGTATCCCATTGGGATTTACCCATCGCCCTACGCTACTACGATTTACATTTACTCAACTAGCTAGTAGTCATGCGCATAAACCTAGGAGGGGATATCATTTCGCTGCATTTTGAATTATGTTGTAACTACATGTACATCGAACACAATAGCCAGGCCTGACTGGACGTTGTTCCACCAAAAACATGTACGCGCTGAGCGAACCCAAAATTGTTTTTGACGAGGTTCAGAACGAAGACGTTTAACACAACCTTCGTCTCGAACTCTAGAAAACGGTTTCAAAAGTATGCGGTTGCGGTGTGCTAATTCCCTGATTTCGTTTGAATTAAGAGAAGGGCGATTCGTATAAAAAAAAATGGGGTTTTAAAAGTATCCGGATTCGTGTGTCTGCCATCACTTACAATAAAAATTTTCTTAAATTTTCTCTTTTTTTATTTTTCACAATTCGTTTTACATTCAAGGGTGTCGGCAAGAACGAGAGTTGACTGTCTGATACCCATTCCCAGTCGTTCATGGGTCGTTTTGCAACACTCCTTACCTCTTCCCCCAAACCCCCTCTCCCCCTTCCCCCGCCCTCTGTGCCGGGGAAGAAGAAGAGAGGCTACGCTTTTGTTCCCAATTTAGTGTGATGATTGTACCTGGTGTGCATGTATCCGAACTTCTTAGATTCGACGCCTTCATGAACAGGAATGCATCCCTCTTCAGTGACAGATACATAGTAACGATCTAAAAGACAGAGGCAACATATGTGTTATGTAGATATGAAATATGATCACAAAAAGAACAGAAAAGAATCGAAGGAGAGGACACTTACTCCCGGTAAAGGTAGTAAGTCGCTGAAATGTTTCACTTCTCCTTCAAAACAGATCTTTTGCCAACACTTCGTTCATCAGATAATCAAAGGTGGCAATGTTGAACTTCACTTACAATCATGCAGGAGAACATTTTCCAGGGAATAAAATTGTGGGAATGTTTACAATCTACCAGCTGAGTTTGCTTACTAAGGGCCAGTAAAGTACATTTTGTTATAGTTTTCCATGTCCAAGATATCAATAAAAACTTGTTTAACGTTGCAAACACTTCAACTGTCCATTGTTTCAGCTAGCTGGAAATGAGATTTAAAATTGGACTGTTTTGTTTTTCTTTGTTTGTTTGTTTGTTTTTTGTTTTGTTAGTTACTCAGCAGTGATACCCAAACGAAAAGCCGGGATTGATTTTTAGACATTTTGACACCTGTTGAAAATATTTGGAAATTCATAGTTACCCCTCTTAACGGCCTTTTTATATGCCGGGCGAGTCCGGTTTCCGAGATCTCGCCTTGCCTCTAAATCCTGCGTAAAATTTACGATGTGTCATCCGCATGGCTCGGTTCCCGAGATTTCGGTTTTTCCAACGGGGATCTCGGTGAGTGGGCTGGAAATTTTTCCATATGAACACTTCAGCCCGGTTACCAGGATGAAAGCGGGATGAATTCTGGCGGCCCTCATGGCATCGCCTTGCATCGCTTGCTATATTAAGCACATCATAAGCACCTCATTTAACTGCAGTGATACATGTACAGGTTTAAGGTTTGCCGAGGTTATATAGAAGCCAAATTTAGACCTTATGTGTCAGTTCGCCATGTTTGCTTTGGTTCTCGAATTTGAAGCCAGAACTCTGGCCTTTTCTCATCTTGAAAACCAGTCTGAAATTTCCCATATGAACCCAAGGCAAGCGGTAAGCGGGCCAGCCCCGTTAACCGGGCTCATGTGAAGAGGTCCTAAGTGGCAACAATGACGATTTGTAAAAACTAAACCGATTGATTGTTGTTGTCCCAACTCCCGTCGCCCTCCCCCTCTTATCAAAATCGGAGTTTTACTACTGACCTTCGTCCATCTCCCCAATAAACAGAGCAACGTTAACCCCCAATCCTGGTCCTGCATTTGAGCCGATGGTTGCCAATCCCACGGAAGTCGCATTTTTCGGAATCGCAAACTTGTGAAATGGCTCAGTCAGGTCTTTCTTGACACAGCTACCAGTCTTGTTTATGCTCAGTTCGATCTGGTACATAGTACCCTGAAATAAAACAAGTAGAGTTTCACCATTTATTGATATTTTTGACCTATTTTTGTAAAAGTTTTATTAAATTGACCACTGGAATTTCGAGTAAAGAAATCAGAAATAATAAACTAGCTGTACATACCTCCTTGTGGAGAAAAATGAACTCATAGAACTTCCTTCCCTTTTTATAGTCAACTTCCTCGACGATACTCACTCGCTCCCCGATAGCATCATAGGACATTCGCCCAAACACCGCAACATCTTTTGAGGGATCGATCTAAAACAAAGATCGAGGAAGGGAAGTGATAGAAAGTAATTTTATTATAATGAAGTGAATGAATAATCATCAGAAATACGAAGAAGTGGTTAAGAAAAACGAGCAGGTGGCTGGTGCAGTTAGTAGCGAAAGTTGATAATAGTTATTACAAGTGAAAACATGGAACTTTGACCACAAGATTCTTTTTAATAATAATAATAATAATAATAATAATAATAATAATAATAATAATTAAAAAAAATGAAAAAAAAAATTAAATTAGAAATAATGAATGCCAACTTGACGCACTCCTGAAGTAATTTAAACCTCAGGTAAAAAGTATGTCCTTACTGGCTTCTTTACAGGAGAAACTTAAAAATAAGCCTAACAATTGGACAAATGTATGTTTTAACTAACCGTCATCACGCGCCCTGTCCATTCATCGGGAGTTTCTGAAAAGAAAATTAATTATATACATATAAAAGGTCTTATCATTCAACTGTGTTTGGCTGCAGATAATGTTCTGCTCATGCATAAGTGAAACCACGCTCTTCTCCTTCTTGCGATCTTTTGTTTTTCTTTCGTGAAAATGGCAGATCGCCTACAATCCGTAAGTTTATTCACTTACAGCGAAATTCGTTGTATTGCGCTGCGCGTATTGCAGACTTCGAAGGGATTTTGATTTTAAAGCGTTACGCAGCAGTACCGAGCTTAAGACACCTGTGCTTTCAATGACTTTAATTTCTCTTGGGACGACTGTAA